TCCCTCAGTTTTTGGGCCCCGCCGCTGGGCAGAAAGAACCCGCCCCTTCCCGCGCATTGGCTGGCTCTGCCTCTCCAGCGCCCAATCGCCGGCTAGAGTGGTCGCCATGGCGACGGGGAACGCCGCGCGGCCTAGGCGACAGCATGGCCGCCTACAGCAGCGGGGTGCTGGTGGGGAACTGGGAGGAGGACCTCTCTCTGGAGGAGGTAGCGGCGGAGCCCGGCCCCTCTCTCTCCTCTCTGGCTGCCCCTCTCTCTTCTCTGGCTCCCGGGGAGCCTCGCCCGCCGCTTCCCCTCGCGGTGTCTCCCCCCTGATTCTGTAAATTCGGTTTAAGCCCGAGGTTGTGAGTGCTGTGTGACATGTCTGCCCCTTCTCTCTCCTTTGCGAGCAGGAACGCCTGAGGGATTTTATGCATAAAAGGGAAAGAGGAGAACTTTTGATACAGAAAATAAACAAACTTCAAGATAATCTTTTCAAGAAGGTAATTTTTTAAGAAGGTTATGGCAATCCTCTATGACTCCACATAGAACAGCATAGTTGTTATTAGTGTTCTTTATGCATTAAGAATGCTATGGATTAGCATTGTATATGCTAAAATACTGCTGATATCAGGTTCAGATAATTCTGTAAAAAAATTATATATATTTTAATTTAGATACAGCTGTCGGTGTCTAAGGATGGATTTCTTCATTTTGGAGACACTGTGATGCTCCTGCACCCAGAAAACAAATCCACGGTGGAGAATCGCCCTGGAGCATGTGGCCGTCTGACTCTGGCAATTAATCTTGATGAACTATCCGTGTATTCAGCCAAATCACTGGAAGTCCCTCGTGGAATTAGCGCAATTGAGAGCGCGGACCCCGAGGGTCGAAATACTTTTTGTATCTTAAGGTTTGGTACTTTATTTTGAGTTGTTTTCAATTATTGTGTTAGCTTTCAGAATCTTGTTTTGAGAAACATGCAATGAAATTTGCTAATATACAAGTGAATTGCAGTAAGGTTAGTTTATTTAAGAAAGACTCTTTAACTTGAGTCATGCATTAGGCTTGATTCTGCTCGGCATATTACTGTGAATAATGCCAAGGAAGTTTAAATCAGCTTAGAACTCACGTGAAAACAGAATTGCGTTCTCTGTATCACTTGGTAAACCCTGCCGCTACTGCAGCACAGTCGTATTTCAGCTGTGGAATAAAAACCATGTCCAAATATCCCTTAGTATTACTCATTCTCCTGCAAATAAAGCCTCTGGAGCAGAACTCTGTGTCAATACTTTTGCTGTACATGAAGCTGACAGCGTCTCTGTTCTCCTAAAAAGCCCCTGTCCTGATTGGACAAAACGCTTTGGCTTAGACCTAAGAAAGAATTTTGATGCCAAGAGCATAATTTGGGCCTTCTAGAACTGCAGCCAAAGTATTTTTGCTGAGCTGCTGTCTGATCTTGGATTTCTTGGCACTGAATGCTATCAAGTCCCTCATTAACTGACTACTAAGTTCATCAGCAATGTAAGTTTTTCACTCTGAGTACACTTAAAAAGTCTAGCACTTGATTTAGTGATTCTTTAATGTGAAATACAGAAATAATTCTGGAAATAGTGATATACCAGCGTGTATGTTGATGTAATGAACCAAATTATTGAATATCAGTTACATATATTATTAGCTACATACGCTAAGTTACATTAAAAACACACACTGTTCTGCTTTTAGTCTGTGATTTTTCAGGTGCTCCTATTAAGTATATTTTAAAGGGGGTCTCAGTGCTGAATTCTCATTGATTTTTCATTGGACATTATCTTTCCACCCTGCATGTTAATGAATACATCATAAAAAGTAATTAGTACAGTCTGTTTCTATTCTGTTAAATATTTTAACCAGTGAGTCAAGTATGAAATGTCTTTTCAGTTAAGATATTTTGCCTATTATTAAAAGGAAACTTAATGCCAAGTATTGTCACAAGACATAACTATAGACCAAATCAAACAAACAAAAAGAATAGTAAAGGTGATTATTTGAATATCTCTTTCTTCTTTTTATAATTTTAACAGTGTTGATGGAAGTGCAGAGGGTGAACCCATTAGATTTGGGCAAAAATTTCGTCTTGGAACAACAGGAGGGTTTTCTGGCCAAATGGTAAGGCAATAATAAAGTTGGAAATGACAACAGTAGCATATACTGATAGTGTGCATTTAATCACTATAAATATATATATGCGCAAGGCTGTGCAGTGGTTCAACATCTTAGCTTTACAGAACAGATTCAGACATAGATCAAAATTAGAAATACCTATTTAGAAAGTTTATGCAACTTACCTGAGATCAGGTGTGAAGGTCTAGGGATCTGTCAGCCAGAATGACTGGATACAGGAGATTTTAAAAAAGAAAAAGGAAATTAAAATTAGTTTGTGAATCATGAAAGAATTCATTATTGGGGGGAAGGGGATGGTACTTTTTTCTCTAAATAAATCCAAAATGAGAAGATTTCATTTCTTGTGAAGATAAATCTATAGTAGGTATAAGAAGTAACATACTATTCTATCATTCTGAGGGAGCAGATTTCTGTTAAAGGTTAACGTTGTTTCCCTCTGCAAGTTAGAAGCAAATAAGACATTACATGTTACATACACACTCAAAATAAATCACCACAACTTTGAAAAGTTTCCCTCTCAACAACCGTTTTGGTGAGAGAGAATCATTGGAATGAAAATTCAATTCTAAATTAGTATTTTAAAGTCTGTTTATAGAATAGCCCCTTAATGAGTTTATCAGCAGTATAGGATCTATGTTAAAGGCTTTGTATGTGTAGCTTTAGCTTGGCAGATTGATTCTTTAGGAGCCGATAGAAAATTTTTTGTGTTGAAAAATATTTTTTTTAAATTACATATCTTGTTTCTATTATATTTATACTGTCCTTAATATATATTTTTGTTTACAGTTATATCTAGCAAGTGACCATAAGTCATTTATAAGATTTGCTAAAAAATCTCGCCTTCAGCAAGTATTTTTGACAGAAAACCTTTCCTATTTGACTTGCTGGCAAGTTACCTTCTTGGATCCGCAGCTGCGTCTTGAACATGAAGGATTTCCAGTTCCTGTAAGAAATTAAAACTGTAGATAAAGTAATGAAGATCTAATCGAAACAGTAGATTGAGTACTTAGAAAAAACTTGTGTCCATTTTATTTATATATTTTCTTTATGTAAGTTCTGAACAATAATACTAGCAAGGGGGAGAAAGAAGGAACGGTCTGTTTAACCTGGGAATCTGCGTATACAACTATTAGTTTCTGGTGTTCATTTTGAAGTTGACTTGCTCAGTTTTTCTCTCCAGAATTTTTTCAAAGGTTGACATTATCATATTGTGAGGATGCAGTACTTGGAATCTACTTTTCAGGACTTCTGAGCAATAAATTGCATTTCCAATACTAGGACCTGCGATTAATTAAGAATTCCTGTACTTTAAATTTAAAAAAAACAAACCTAATGCATCTGAATAAGGGGATGCTTTTCCAAATGTGGTTTTTAACCTTTTGTAAATACATTAAACAGATGCAATATTTTCCTGTTCCACATAACTGCTAGGCTTCCTGAAGTACTGATGTAGAGCAAAATATCACAAATATTCCTCTACAGCCTTGAACTATGACTCATTTACATGAATCAGCTTACTAATGAACACAGTCAAAATTATGTAATTGTCAGAGACAACATTCTTTTTTCACAGTATTGGTAAATGGAGGTGCCTAAAACTTGATTCCGTTATACATAAGAAAACCTGCAAATTGGTAAAATACAAAGGTCCATATCTAGGCTGTGTCCCCAGACCATCTGGATCTCTCATATGGCAAATATCAATTGTAAGAGGAATTACCCTGATGGCACAGGCCACTGGAATGACTCTCTACTGCTTGCCTGACTTTATTTTATTTTTTGAAATACCCAGCACAAGGGAGTGAAATGGAATGTATTGGACAGGAGAATGTGTCTGCCCTGAGGGCTAAGCATTTGGCTGGTCTGAGCTGTTAAGACAGTTGTGTTGAGAACTGGTAGGGTGTAAAATACCTCACTGTCGATGTACAGCAGCCTCAGAGTGATACAGAGCAATGCAGGCTTACACTAGCGGTAAATAAAAACATTTTATTTGAATAAGAATAGTTAAAATTGGCATAAAAATGCCTATCAAGTATCCTCCCTTGTTTTTTTTTCCAGGCAAACTCTAAAGTGCTTATTACTCATTGCCATACTAATCGGAGCTTAGCTGTTCCAAGGAAGTTTTGGACATGGTAAGAATAATTTATAACTGGCAGGGATGTGAATAATGATGTGCCGACATCAAGAATTACTGTAAGCAGCAAGATAGTTGCTTTAGGAATGCACTGAGGAAATGGAAAAGAAGACAAAATGCACATTCTCCTTTCCCTTATTTTATTTCTGGGCTGTAACATGTGCCCACTGTGATGCTACAGACAATCAGCTCCGTCTTATTTGTTTGTTCTTTTTTTTATTTATTTTTTAATTCATATCATATCATGTTTCTAGCCTTCTCTAGTTTCTTGGTGGTTCTTCCTTTGAGTATCTTGAGCAATTACAGCTGTTTGGGTTTTTTTTTTTTTTTTTAGGAAAAAAATGAAATTATAAGAAGTGAAAGGAGAAAGAGAACTAAATAAAAGCATACTGCATAAAACTGTATATTACTTATGTCCATATGAATCAATCTCTCAACTAATTGAAGTTAATCCAACAATTCAAGTTAATATGTATGCATTAAATTAATAGTGACTAAGCATTGTTAAGAAATATACCACGTATTTCCCATTAAATTATGAGCAAGACTGGAGCAAGGGCTTGTAGCAGGTGTTTAAGGATGAAGCAAGGTCTGAAAGTTTGAGGCTGAAACAGTTATTAAGTAGCCAGAGTCTTCCTCAGTCAGAGAGAAATGGTGATATGAATGGTGATAAAAACCTAACCAGCTTGTACTTACCAAGTCAGCATATCAGTGCTTTATACCGATGGGGCTGCTTTAGCTCTGAAGCTAGAAAGGTGGCATTTCCTTTTGTTTCCTATTAATAATTTAGGAATTTGAAATCAAAGTGAGCTTGTAAGGGTCCGATATTTGAAAGTGCACGGTGATATTTCTGAATAAGACAAGAGAAACATGAGAAACCTTGAACAACTTGCAGATAATGCAGATTTGCTGAATTTGTGTATATATTAATTCCCCCTGCCCATCTCCCTTCCTTTGACTTTGCAGGTCTTGTTTTGGAAAAGAATATGAAGTCATTTGTCACACTTACCTGGACTCCCATAGAGTTGAAGAAGATAAGAATTACTGGATAATAGTTACAGGAAATCCCGGTGATGAGAACGGTACAATGATTGATAGACCCAGCCCTCACCCCGGCTGCCTTCACAAGAATGAGTTTCATGAAGAGACATAGAATATAAAAATCCCAGACTACAGCAAACAAAGGTTGATGAGATGGTTCTTGAGTTTTCTGTTCAGATTTTAGTTTTAGAGATTCTTGTTTTAAAAATGGAAATGAAAGTCTACCATTAGTAGTATTACATAATCTCATTAACTCATCTAGTTTATACAGTGGGCAAGAACTAATAAAATTTGATGAACCACACACAACATCAAAAATTCTTGAATCAGGAAGGATTCATTTTCCCGTTTTCATGTTCACGGATGGCAAAAGATGTCAGAATCCAGGAAATCTAATGTTTTCATTACCTTACCGGCTTTCAGAGCGTATTTAACCAATTCTCCCAAAACCAAAACAGTGCCGCACTTTTTAAAAGGATGAGTGTGCAGTTTCCAAAACACTGAAAATTAAACTCATGTAAGCTACCATGGGATACTTTGACATTTAAAGTTCATCTGAAAGAAAACTGGTTGCTGAGCTTGTTCCACGCTTCGTCTAGCACAATGTTGCAAATTATTAAAAAATCACAAGTGACATCTCTTTATTTCGAGATTGGCCTAAGAATTAAGATAATTATTTTAAAAAGTATAAATTGAATTTTTTAACTTTGTCCATGGATTCTAAACATTTAAATGCCAAGTAATTGAGAACTTGAGCACAGTGGTAGACTAAAGACTTCTGACAGCATTATCCATATGTCCATAATCAACCCACAATCATTTCTACCAAGTTCAACAGCAGGGTAAAATTGCCAGAGTAAATTAAGCCCCCACAAGTTTCATGAAAGTAAATGACAAAGCTGAAAAAGAATAGGAGACACTGTGAGTTTATCCAATAAGAAAAAGAGCATAGTCTATGTTCATACCTAATTAGACACTAGACAATCCACGTAAAAAGAAATGGTCCAAGAATGGTAAAAATTTCAGCTAGAACTCACATTTTCTTATACAATAAAATCAACTGAGCAGGAGATGCAAAGGCATAGAAAACAGATGTCATTACTTCATAGAGTTACCTGTCTTTATACGGAAGCTGAGACAGCACCACAATCTTCTTAATGTATGACATTCCATTATATCCATTTAGTATACACGTATACGTATTCCATTTCTTACTGTGCCACAAGGGCAGGCTCTTTCTGCACAAAGCAAATGAATTTCTGAGTGAAATACTACATAAATTCTCAGTTCTCAAAAAGGATTCCAAAGATGATCAAAGTTCATAAAGGTCAAATAATACTAAGTTTTACCAAAACAAACCCACTAAACTTTCACGGAAGAAGGGACTGATCTGAACATGGTCTGTCTTGAAGCTGTGTCCCAGATAGACTGTTTCAAACCCACTTGCCTTCATTCAATCCAGATTAAACCAGCAGGCTGCAGAATAGGCTAACTAGCATATAGAGGTATAGAGGGTCTTGGAGCAGGAGTTAGGTACGTTTCTGTGACATGCAGGTTTGCTTTAGGAGAGTGTATCACAGAAGGCAGTTTTTGAATCAGGCTCCTCATGTGCAAACCTTCACAGATCTGTTATAGATGAGCTGTTATAGAGGCAATTATCTTTAGGAACTTTTCTTTCTGTGTAAAGATATGAAACCATTTGCCATCACGGCAAATGATACGTGTTTTTAAAGAGGCGCTATTATTACTGCAACTTTCAGAGATTAAAGTTCTGCACATTTTCCACAATAGATTGACACACCCTGCTTTGATTTTGTAAGTATTAAACTAGAAAAACTTAGACTGTGTGAGTGCACTGCAGAGTTTGTAATTTGACCATTGCGGGCATTTATTGGTATTAGGGATAGCTATTTAGAATCTGGCAAAGTCTCTTTCCTCTTGGTTAAATGTAAGAAACAAGAAGAGGCCTTAAACCGAAACCATTGCTGAAACAAAACTTCGTGTGAACTCATGCAGGAATGAGGAGTGTGTGGGCAGAGTGCCTTGGCTGCCTAATGTTATGGATGGGAGTGTGTGTGTGAGAGTGTGTGTGCGTTTGGGGGGGAGAAAAGCAACGCAGGCTGGACAAAAACAAGTTTTGTAAAGTCTTAGAGGAAAACCAAGGAGATAAACAGATACAGAAATGAGTACAGGAGTAGGTAATGTTGGAATTACGTGCTGATTAAAAGTGGCTTGGAGACTCTGTGTGTTTTGATCAGTCTGTGCTCGTGGGAAAGGACTTCCCGAGCTGTTGAAAAATAAACAAAATTGAATCAACAGTTCCTGATTCCATTATCAGTTTTTCTTCTTACCTAATACAGTTTAAAACCACACATTTCTATGTATCTTCTTATTTCATGTAACACATATTTATAATTCAGCTAATTCATGATACTGAATAAAGATATTTATGTAATGTAGTTTTTCATTTAAAAATTGTGTTTTACACTTCCCAGTGTTGTCCACATGATGGCACCACGTTGTCTAACCACCACAATTATTGCTACATGTGTAAACCAACCTGAAATGTTTAAATGCAAATGAGTCTGGTTCAATGCCACAAAAGCCAGGTTAAATCAGGCTTGAATTCTGGGCTAGGAGACGTCATCAATGTTTTATCCTGGTTTTGGAAAATAAAGTTAAGCAACAAAGGTAAATAGGAAAACACAGATCATTGTGTACTGCGTACAATCAACTTAAAGCTAATTGGAATACTAATTAATTTGTAACCAAAAGATACTTAGAGGAAATTATCTTTAGGAGCATTTTCTTTCACTTTCTATGTAAAGATATGACACCTGATCTGTGACAACCGATGCATGTTTTTATAGGGGCATTGTTATTTCTTACTCCAGTGTATAGAGATTAAAATTCTGTGCATTTTCGCACTAGGTTGACATAATCCTTCTTTGATTTTGTAGGTATTAAACTAGGAAAACTTAGGCTGCATAGAATGCCCTGCAGTGGTTCTAATTTGGCCATTGTGGACATTTATTGATAAACACAAGAATTAATGCCAAGAATTATAGGACTGAATATTAGGGCAGAACCTGGACAATCCTGCAACTGCCAGTTAGAGATGAGTGGGCAGGCTACTGGAGATCTGAACCATGCTCCAGACCTGCCCATTGTGTAGCTAAGGGCAGGCACTGGATTTTGCTTGTCCCAGTATTGCATATCATGAAATATGGAGAGTGATGCTTGCCTAATTTGCAAAGCACTTTGACATATACCAACAAAAAGCAAAATCACGCCTAAGGAAGCTTTTAATGCTTCTTCCAAATTAGACCCACTATGGATAGCTCTACAAAGTACATTGTGGGAAGATAAAACTCACTTTGCCTCCACTCCAGGCAGCTCAGAAGCTGTTTGCATGAAGCTGATCCTGAGCTATTAGTCCTTGCTGAGGGACAGGGTGCATTAGTTCAGATTTAGTGCTGTGCTAATACAGCTTTTCATAGGCCTAAGGCACAGAGAGAACTCACATCTGCACATGCTTTGCTGTGCACACGTGTGTTAACAGCACAATATTGAAGTAAAGAAAGATGCAGAGAATTCAGTCATCAAAGCAAAGCATCTTCCCCCTAGTAACCTCACACATTGGTAACATGGGAAAATGCAAACTGAGTTTAAAATCTGCCTATTCACTTTCCCTCTCTTTTACATGCTTCCCCAACTCATATTTTATATCAGTTCTCCTCTGCCATGTCATCTAGCCCAAACTTACTGATTTGCTGTGGTTATAAAGCACTCAGCATAAGTCACCGGTCCCTCTCCCAAATCACATCAGTATCTTCAGAGGCTGCTCTGCTTTTCGTTGATTGCCATGAAGCATTGTTTTCGCTCAGACAGATCAGAGGAGGAAGCCATATGCAGGTTTAGTAACTGGATAAAACAACTGAAGGAAAAAAAAAAAAAAAAAGCAGCAGGGAGAATATTACAATAAGAAATTCCACACAGCAGTGGAAGAAAATATCCAAGCACTGGAAAATTTGGTGGAGTTGGCAGGTAAGAAGGTGATTTTAATAACATGTGTGCCCACTCACCCTATATTAATATGGCACATCTGTTGTAATCTGGAGGGGGGATGTTCTTTTAAAACCATAGTTGTTGCTTTAGAAACACTTCAGATTGTTTAATGCATGAAAACTAAACTAAGGGGTACACAAAATAAAAATACAGATGTGAAATGCAAAATACATTAAATATAAGTGGAAATTAGAAAAGCTGTACATCATTTTGTCATCTACACATCTCTTCTAATTCTGTTCTGTTTGAGGCTTTATCCCAGGTCCTGCCTCCATCCTCTGCCTGACCTGCCTGATTTCCCTGTCTGTACAGAGAGAGCCAAGCCACGGTTTGCCTGCTCCCCTCTTACGTGCTGTTTCACTTCACTCTGGAAGCCATAAAGGGGAATCTAATCCTCAATATTGCATTCTCCAACGTAAGAGGAGGAGTGGAAAGATCTGTCACCTTTCTGGATGTGTGCTATTTCAGCAGGGATATGAGCAGCCATAAGGACATCAACTACATGCTTTGCACGATAGGTTAGAATTACTAATAATGGGAGGGACGACTCACCAAGTTGCCAATTTGCCAGGGGAACGCACCCATTTTGGTTGGTTTGGTTTGGGGTTTTTTTTTTTGTCAACACTCTGTGTGGAGTTTATGCAATGAAACAATTGACACTTCATTTTTGTCACTGGTGGCCTTGGACAAGGCAATGTCTTTTATGCAAGAGAACAGAATCATCAGCAGTGCACTAAAAAGCGTTACTACAACACACTCACTCGGTTTTCTCTAGAGAAGTCTCTATATTTTCTAGCAAGGAATACTCAAAGCAGAGTAGAATAGGCACAAACGTTAAAAAATGCCTGATGACATTAATACCCACCTTCGATGATGAAATTAATTCATACACATACATCTCTGCTCTATGTTTATATGAGAAGCTCAGAGAGCTAATTTCCCAACATCTGTTAAATGCTGTTTCATACAATACGTCAAAACAAAACTAAACAGACCATCCAGTTACAGGCCAGCTAGTATATATGTTTCTATAATGCTGGTCTTGTTTCAATTATAGGCTCCTTGGGGCAG